ATTATGCCAAGGGCAGAAAGAATATGAAATTCAGTACTATGTATCCACGAGCCTCTGGAACCCCTCTGATATCTTGCACAAACCCCTGCAGAGTACAATGAAAAAAAAAAAAACCCTCCATCAAATAAAACTGTCACGTTGATACTATTACGGCCTCATCGCGCTTCTTAAAGGGCTGCCCTGAAAGCTTGCAGTAATTGGATTTTCTGTCCTGCTCATTCCCATCTTCCTCAGAGACACTTGATGTGATTCTCAACTTAGATAGGAGGAAATCTATGGCAAGCTGGAGACCTGCATTTGTCCCCTGTACAGGATGACAGCATAGCTCTTACTCCCTGTCCACGTCAAGGACAGCCATTATACATGCTAAATGCTGCACTCATGTAATTACTTCTGTGCAGGAAATAGTTGTTTAATACATTTGAAATTATAGTAATTATTAACAAGTGTACACCTTTTCCAGCAGGAATAGCTCCCTTCCACCAGGGCTCGGGGAAGCAATGCATAGGTGCGATCGTGTGAGAGACACATTATTGAGAATCCAACTAAAAGCTTATATTTCAGTTTTGGGGAGGTTCAAGCAATTTGTATAACTAATGATTTCTAGATTTCATAGAGTAAAGTTCTGCTGAAGGGAGAATATTAATGATGAGCAAACTGGGCTGAGTTTGGTTTGTGGGAAGAATTGTGGACCCAGCCTGATATCCACAAATGACGAACATCGCCTCTGAACCCTACTGAAATCTATAAGAGCCAGAGGTTTAATTTTTTTCAAGGCCTATTTTCAAGCTTTTGGTAAAAAAGAGCATGGGTAGCCTGAGAGCTGTTAGGATCCAGATCTGAACCTACAACCTCTGTGGTGTTTGGCTGTAGAGCTGTCAGGATCCAGATCTGAACCTATAACCTCTGTGGTGTTTTGCTGTAGAGCTGTCAGGATCCAGATCTGAACCTACAACCTCTGTGGTGTTTGGCTGTAGAACTGTCAGGATCCAGATCTGAACCTACAACCTCTGTGGTGTTTGGCTGTAGAGCTGTCAGGATCCAGATCTGAACCTACAACCTCTGCGGTGTTTGGCTGTAGAGCTGTCAGGATCCAGATCTGAACCTACAACCTCTGCGGTGTTTGGCTGTAGAGCTGTCAGGATCCAGATCTGAACCTACAACCTCTGCGGTGTTTGGCTGTAGAGCTGTCAGGATCCAGATCTGAACCTACAACCTCTGCGGTGTTTGGCTGTAGAGGTGTCAGGATCCAGATCTGAACCTACAACCTCTGTGGTGTTTGGTTGGCTGTAGAGCTGTCAGGATCCAGATCTGAACCTACAACCTCTGTGGTGTTTGGCTGTTTTGGCTGTAGAGCTGTCAGGATCCAGATCTGAACCTACAACCTCTGTGGTGTTTGGCTGTAGAGCTGTCAGGATCCAGATCTGAACCTACAACCTCTGTGGTGTTTGGCTGTAGAGCTGTCAGGATCCAGATCTGAACCTACAACCTCTGTGGTGTTTGGCTGTAGAACTGTCAGGATCCAGATCTGAACCTACAACCTCTGTGGTGTTTGGCTGTAGAGCTGTCAGGATCCAGATCTGAACCTACAACCTCTGCGGTGTTTGGCTGTAGAGCTGTCAGGATCCAGATCTGAACCTACAACCTCTGCGGTGTTTGGCTGTAGAGCTGTCAGGATCCAGATCTGAACCTACAACCTCTGCGGTGTTTGGCTGTAGAGCTGTCAGGATCCAGATCTGAACCTACAACCTCTGTGGTGTTTGGTTGGCTGTAGAGCTGTCAGGATCCAGATCTGAACCTACAACCTCTGTGGTGTTTGGCTGTAGAGCTGTCAGGATCCAGATCTGAACCTACAACCTCTGCGGTGTTTGGCTGTAGAGCTGTCAGGATCCAGATCTGAACCTACAACCTCTGCGGTGTTTGGCTGTAGAGCTGTCAGGATCCAGATCTGAACCTACAACCTCTGCGGTGTTTGGCTGTAGAGCTGTCAGGATCCAGATCTGAACCTACAACCTCTGCGGTGTTTGGCTGTAGAGGTGTCAGGATCCAGATCTGAACCTACAACCTCTGTGGTGTTTGGTTGGCTGTAGAGCTGTCAGGATCCAGATCTGAACCTACAACCTCTGTGGTGTTTGGCTGTAGAGCTGTCAGGATCCAGATCTGAACCTACAACCTCTGTGGTGTTTGGCTGTAGAGCTGTCAGGATCCAGATCTGAACCTACAACCTCTGTGGTGTTTGGCTGTAGAGCTGTCAGGATCCAGATCTGAACCTACAACCTCTGTGGTGTTTGGCTGTAGAACTGTCAGGATCCAGATCTGAACCTACAACCTCTGTGGTGTTTGGCTGTAGAGCTGTCAGGATCCAGATCTGAACCTACAACCTCTGCGGTGTTTGGCTGTAGAGCTGTCAGGATCCAGATCTGAACCTACAACCTCTGCGGTGTTTGGCTGTAGAGCTGTCAGGATCCAGATCTGAACCTACAACCTCTGCGGTGTTTGGCTGTAGAGCTGTCAGGATCCAGATCTGAACCTACAACCTCTGTGGTGTTTGGTTGGCTGTAGAGCTGTCAGGATCCAGATCTGAACCTACAACCTCTGTGGTGTTTGGCTGTAGAGCTGTCAGGATCCAGATCTGAACCTACAACCTCTGTGGTGTTTGGCTGTAGAGCTGTCAGGATCCAGATCTGAACCTACAACCTCTGTGGTGTTTGGCTGTAGAGCTGTCAGGATCCAGATCTGAACCTACAACCTCTGTGGTGTTTGGCTGTAGATCGTCTTGCTGTGCCACTCGAGATGCTGGACAGCTCCCTATCTGATCTGTTAGGATAATCTTGTGTTTTCTCTTGTTTCCTGTGAACCTTCAACTCTTTGCTCCTCCCATGACTTTCCTGATTTAGGCCATGTCTCTGCACTTCTTGTTCACTAGATTATTATGCTCTCTCCAGCCAGTATTTTGCACCTTTGTATACAAGCAGCTGTCCTCATCTTCACTAACACTTCTTACTGACCTTTGGCTTGTCCCTCGACTACGCTTCTGCTTGATCCCAACATGCAACCACTTGTTACTGACCTCTGGCTTGTTTACTGACTACATTTCTGCTTGAACTTAGCCTGCTATATCTGCTACTGGACCTCGGCTTGCTCACCTCTTAGTGGGGCGATCCTGAGGACCATGACCTGGTACTAACACCCTGTAAAACCCATCTCCACCATCATGAGCTCTGGTGAATACTGGTTAGTGCTTAGACTCCACACCTCAGATGAGCCTGCATCATCCGCCAGGGTGACCTTCATGCATACCATCTCATTTTTTGTGACTGAGTAATAAAGGGGGTTTCCGCTTGTGCTGACTGCTTAAAATTGCTGCCCTAGGCACTGTCCCATCATTGCCATTATGGCAAATTAAGCCCTGTGAACAGCATATGATTTTTTCCTACAATGCAGTGCCCAGACCTAGTGTCCAATCTCATGGCTCAAACACTGTCATATGATGGAGCAGGTGCACAGTTAATCATTGTAAGCTTCCACATTTTGCTGTGATGAAATATAATACTGAGTTTGACTTTACATTGCTGAAAAAAAAATACTGCATACTTTATTTGAAATAAACAGATTCCCTTCCTTTATATTCTAGCATAATATAGCATAGAATGCTGAGAGATTTCCCATGTTCTGATTAAGAATGATCTTGGGTTCACTCTGAACCCAGAAGTTATCTGTGTTTGCTGGACCAATGAGTTGAGGGCAGGAGATTCCCTGCCACACAACTACACGTTGCATAGGGGCATGAATGTGACACCGCTGACTTAATATGGCCATATGATCTAATATGAGGTCAATGAAGTCAATAAATGCCCGTAGCGGAAAAGAAAATTAGCGCAGGGCAGGCATGACTAGGCCTAGAGTGGGAAGGAAGAATAGAAAGGGTTAAGTATAATGCCAGGGGGTTTGAAAAAAAGGATAGCTGGGGTGCTGGTTGGTAGAGGGAGAGCGTGGGTGGGCTCTTCTGCACCTTAGGGTGGGGCGTCAGTCGGAGCTGGACGTTGGTGAGAGAGCTTCCCTCCCGCCCTCCCTATTTAGTGAGTATTGTGTTCCTGTCGGGGGGAAAGGGGGGTTATTTCGGTCATGGGCGGTTGTTGGTCTTCGGAGGCGGTTCTTATCTTGGAGGTACAGATAATGGTGTGGGAACCATCGGTGGTATGGTGTGCCCGGGGACATTCCAGTTAACCAAGGTTTAACTGGAAGGTGGTGGTGCTGCACTGTGGACGGTATGGTTGTCTGGTGTAATATCGTTGTCCGCAGGTGCATTTCAGATCATTTTTGGGGGGTGCCTTCGAAGACCAACAACAACTCTGTATGTTTCTGTTATAAGGAATGGTCGGTGTGTTAAAATGTTTGTTAATAAAAGGCCATGTTGGCCATTTTACTCCAAAATTGGTGTCATGTCTTCCTTTAAGTATAGTTAAAAGGGGGGGATCTGGATGACCTATCTCTGGTGCTCTAGTCATGAAAATCCCTGCCTCTCTGAGTATGTGAGTTGTGAGGAAGTTTATTGGCCCACCAATGACAGCTAACTTCTAGGCCCAAGACCAAACCCAAATCCGAACCCAAGCTCATCACTAGTTCTGATTAGACAATAGAGAGTAGAATTGTAACCAGCACATTAACCATTTCTTTACCGCGCTATAGCCGAAAGATGGCTATAGTGCGACTCTATTGTTCTGGGAGGGTATCCATGGAAGTCCTCAGGAACCACTCTCCCCACATGCCCCTGTGGTGTGCTCCTGACGAGCTCTGTGAACGTTGTGTCCTTTACACACAGCTGATAACAGATCGCAGTAAAGGGTCAATTACAGCGGCCCTCTACCATGCGATCAGCTGTGTCCAATCACAGCTGATCACAATGTAAACACACTTGCTGGATATTGGCAAGACTTTAGTTGCGCTCTGTCACAGGATGAGGAAAGGAGAGCCGGTAACTGGCAAGTGTCCACAGATAATTAGTGCAGTCTCATCAGTGCTGCCTGTCAGTGCCCATCAGTAGTGTCCATTATCAGTGCTGCCCCATCATTGCCGACTATCAGGGGCGGACTGACAACTCATGGGGCCCCCGGGCAATAGGGGATCATGGGGCCCCTATGTCTTCACCCACACTCAAACCACACCCAAAAAAGCCTATGAAAGGTACCAGAGACATCTCATGGGGCCCCCTACTGACCCCGGGCCCTCGGGCCGTGCCCGAGTTCCCCAATGGTCAGTCCGCTCCTGCCACCTATCACTGCCTATCAGGGGCGGAATGACAACTCATGGGGCCCTCAGGCAATAGGGGATCATGGGGCCCCTGTGTCTTTGCCCACACTTAAAGCACACCCAAAAAAGCCTATGAAAGGTATCAGGGACATCTCATGGGGCCCCCTACTGACCCAGTGCCAAGTTCCCCAATGGTCAGTCCACCCCTGCCGCCTATCACTGTCCATCAGTGTTGACTATTAGTACCCATCAGTACCGCCTATCGGTGCTCACCAGTGCCATCTATCAGTGCCCAACAGTGCCTCCTCATCAGTGCCGCTCCAGCAGTTCCCCTCAGTTCAACCTTATCAGTGCTTCCTCATCAGTACCACCCCATCAGTGCCACCTCAGCAGTATGCATCGGTGCAACCTATCAGTGCCCATCAGTACAGCCTCATCAGCGCACATCAGTGAAGGAGAAAAATTACAAATTACTTGTTTGCAAAATTTTAGAACAGAAACTAAAAAAAAAATTTGTTTGAAAAAAAATAATACAAATTTCATTTGGGTACAGTGTTGTATGACCGCTCAATTTTCATTCAAAGTGTGACAGCAGTGAAAGCTGAAAATTGGTCAGGAAGGGGGTGAAAGTGGCTAGTGTTGAAATGGTTAAAGCAGAAAATATGGAGTTTTCACATTTTCAAGTTGAACAGATGGCTCAACAGCCACAGAAACGTAGCTTGCCTAGATCAGTGGCCCACTGATCTAGGTAGAACCTTTGTTTACCGGGTCTGGTTCATCTCTCTGTAGAACTATTAAATAGTCTGTAAACTTGTATTTTATTAATACCTAAATATATAATCAAAGTTGTTACTGATTTCTCTTTCATAAAGAACTTTGCAGTATATGCCAGATTATAAACCTTGAAAAGTAAAACCTGGACCCAAATTCCATATCTTTCTTGCATTCAGGTCTGGCCAGCAGGGGCGGACTGACAACTCATGGGGCCCCCGGGCAGTAGGGGATCATGGGGCCCCTGTGTCCTTGCCCACACTCAAAGAACACCCAAAAAAGCCTATAAAAAGGTACCAGGGACATTTCATGGGGTCCCCTACTGACCCCGGGCCCTCGGGTAGCGCCCGAGTGCTCCAATGTTCAGTCCCCCCCTGCTGGCCAGTTTATTTCCGTGACAAATGCTTTTACGTTCTAATTAAATTGAAATCCTTTCACTCTTGTTTATTAATACAATGCATTCCTTCTAAGCCCTGCACACGGGGTGATTTGATAACGCTGGTAACGTTAGCTGTGCAAAGTCATTTTAAAAAACGTGAGTTTTTCAGCATTTTTAGCATTTTTGCATTAACATTTAGCGGCGTTTTTAGCGTTTTTTTACATTCAAAATTTTTTTTTTTTGTGAAATAAAATCAGAAAACACCAGTTTGCCGCGATTTACAGTGTTTTATTGCATTTTGCTATGTTTTTCATCATTAGTCCTCATTCACACTTGACGTTTTTACAGTGGTTGTTTTTGGCTTTTGATATTTATTTCCTACAGCCAGTAAACCCCCCAGCATGTTATCCTCTGTGTCCATGCACACATAGACTGGAATCAACATTTTTTGGCTGGGACATTTTTTGGCTAGAAAAAAAAAACAGGACTAGTGGATTCCTAGAGGAGTTTTTAAGCCGCAAAAAACGCTCTAACGCTGAAAATGCGGCAAAATGCGGTAAAATGCTGAAAACTGGTATTTTTGGACTTTTTTTGGTAAAAAAAAGCTAAAAAAACCCAAACACGGAAAAACACGGGAAAACGCCTTTAAATGCCGGAAAACGTCTCTAAACGCCAATGCAAAAAACGCTAAGAAAAGCTGAAAAACTCATGTTTTTAACGTGACTTTACACAGCTAATGTTACCAGCTATATCAAAACATCCCGTGTGCATGAGGACTTACAGCTAAAAAAACTCCTCTAAAAACTCCTCTAGAAACCCACTAGTTCTGGGTTTTTCCAGCCAAAAAATGCTGATTCCAGTCTATGTGTGCATGGACACATAGGATAACATGCTGGGGGGTTTACTAACTATAGAAAAAAATATCAAAAGTCAAAAATAGGCGCTGTAAAAACATCAAGTGTTCATGAGAACTTAATTATAATAATTATATACGTAATTATTATGGGGCGGCACAGTGGCTTAGTGGTTAGCACGTCTGCCTTGCAGTAAATGGGTCAAGGGTTTGCTTCCCAATCGTGGCGCCTCCTGCATGGAGTTTGCATGTTCTCCCTGTGCTTGCGTGGGTTTCCTCCGGGTGCTCCAGTTTCTTCCCACACTCCAAAGACATGCTGGGTAGGTTAATTGGCTCCTGTCTAAATTGGCCCTAATATGTGTATGTATGAATGTGAGTTAGGGACTGATGTGAATGTTCAATATATATATATGTGTAAAATTGACAGTGCTATATAAGTACCATAAATAAAAATAGCCATATAACTACTGTAGTAATTTTTTCTTCAATATGGCTGATTAGAATATTCTTCCTATGTTACAATTTAGTCACCTCACTTTTATAGGGTTTTTTCTGTAACATCTTTGTGGCCACCCTGCTCACAACTTGTATGTCAATGAAACAAATGTAACAATGCAGAGAAATCTTAAGCTGACCAAACATTGATCATTTTTTTTGGTTGGATCAGCTATACAAAACACTTTGCCTTTTTTATATGACAGCCAGCTCTGCCCCTGATTGGACGTAGGCGCTTTTCAGTCAACAATTTCCACCCGGACTCTTTGCTTCTTAATCAAGGATCACTGGGCAGGAAGCAGGCGACAGGTCCACCCATTGAACAAATTTAAAGCTAAATTCCAGGAATTCAACTCCTTTAATAACTGAAGGCATGCTATGAGTTAAGTCCAAGGAGGTGTATGACATCTATATATTTAAATCCAACAGGTTTTATAGTACTCCTGGACAGGGGCGGACTGACTGTGTGGAAATTCGGTCAGTAGGGGGCCCCATGAGATGCCCTTGGTACCTTTTTCATAGGCTTTTTTGAGTTTGGGCAAGGACACAGAGGCCCCATGATCCCCTATTGCCTGGGGGCCCCATGAGTTGTCAGTCCGCCCCTGCTTCTGGAAGACAGATATCACTGTAGGCTGAAATGCATTGTACATTGGTATGGCATAGAGCGGCCCCGAACCTCTTCTTTTGGGGTCCACCACCAGCACTGTTCATTCAGACAAGGAAGGGCCCAGTAAATTACATATTTACCAGTCCCTTCCCTTGCTCTCCATCCTGAAAGGAGAGGAAGGAAAGCCGGCAGCTCTGTAAGGGGGAGGAACATGGGAGCAGACAGGGGGGCCTAGGCAGCAGAAGGAAGGTGAATGTGGACAGGAGGGGTGGCGGGGGGTGGCATTTACTGGAACCGATCCACTGTATTTTCCTCCTGTAGCATCTGAAAGCCGGAGGGAGGGAGGGAGGGAGGGAGAAGAGGAGAGTCTGGCTTTCAGCTGCTGTAGGAGGAAAATATATGGGATTGGTTCCAGTAAATGCCGCTCAAGTCCAGGTTTCAGGGATCAGCAAGAAACGGAGATGTTCGACCCATAACCTGCCTGCTATCAATGGGTAGATCACAATGGACGGGTTGCTGACTCCCGCATTATGGTAACAAATATTTTAGCTTTAGAACCACTTTAATTACATCAATACATCTGCTCACTGAACGCAGAGCCAGCTAATCAGCCTCACCTTAAGTTTCATTAATCGAGATCAAGTGATCAAATGATCACTCTCTGCCCGCATCGCCCACCTCCCAAACGACATATTAGACTAGATGTCGCTCCATTTCCTCAAACTTAACCTATCCAAAATCGAGCTCCTGGTCCTCCCCCCTCTGCCAATCCCTTCATTGGCTCCCGATTGCCCAACGCATCAAATTCAAACTGCTAACTCTGACCTACAAAGCCATTCACAATGCCGCCCCGAACTACATAACTGACCTGATACCCAAATACTACCCTACCCGTGCCCTCCGCTCCTCACAGGACCTCCTACTCTCTAGCTCCCTGGTCTCCTCCTCCCACGCCCGATTGCAGGACTTCTCCAGGACTTCCCCCATCCTCTGGAGCTCCCTACCCCAATCCATCAGACTGTCACCTACCCTCCTCACCTTCAGGCACACCCTGAAAACCCTCCTCTTCAGGGAAGCCTACCCCAACCTCACCTAACGCCCGACCTCACCTAACAACTCCCAACACTCCATCCCCCACAGCCATCTCCTCCTGTACCACCTTCCCCTCCCTCCTAGATTGTAAGCTCGAAAGAGCAGGGCCCTCAAAGCCCTCGTGTATTGTATTGTTACTGTCTTGTCTCATGTTCTGTCCCCCTTGCTACTGTACAGTGCTGAGCATACCCTTTGGCGCTATATAAATACTGTATAATAATAATAATCTAATGCTAGTGGCAGGTCACATAACAATGCACTGTAAGATCTGATAAGTGGAGTCTCAAAGCTGAAGTTCAGTCCGCTTATATTTTGCCTTTCTTGGTTCCTCCTTTCCTCCTCATCAACCTACTAATGACCTCATTTAATAAAACCTGTTTTTATTGCATACCTTGTTTTAGACCAAGTGATCACTGGGTCTTTGTGCTTCTCTATGCAATGCAGGCAAATCATGGCTGGTGGCAGGGGCTATTAGGGGGTTGTACACAGCTTCCTGAAAACAGGAAGCTGTGGTAACGTTCACACATGATTCAGAACTTCCATGATGGTAAGAACTGAAATCCAGTAAATGAACAGGGGTGGGCCAGGGACAGTCATGCTTGGGAGGAAAGAGCTGGATCAGGGGCGGACTGACAACTCATGGGGCCCCCAGGCAATAGGGGATCATGGGGCCCCTGTGTCCTTGCCCAAACTCAAAAAAGCCTATGAAAAAGGTATGAGGGGCATCTCATGGGCCCCCCACTGACCCCGGGCCCTCGGGCAGTGCCCGAGTTTCCAAATGGTCAGTCCACCCCTGAGCTGGATGAAGCCGGCCATCCTACATCCAGGAAATTAAACATACTGTGACTTTTTTGCAACTTCTAATGCACACTGTGTGGTCCTCACAGTGTGCAGTGAAATCAGAATAAGCAGAGGAGAGGCGCCTGCACAGCTGTGCATGACTGAAGAAAAGGAGTTCAGTGTCAAGGACAGGTAAGTCTTTCTTCACCTTTACTCTTTTCCCCTGCACTGACATGACTGGTAACATACAATTAACATATGACTGTTGGAATTCTATAGCACACAGGTAAGCGTCTCAATTTGGTAACTTGCAAATGCTTCGCAGGACTTTTATCCCCTGCCTAGTGAAGCACAAATTGCCCTGTCACAGCTCCTTGGGGTACAGGTCCTTTAAACACTTACAAACTGCGGGATATAATCCCCCATAATTCTGCAGTTCATGCTAACTAGCTTTTAACAAATCAATTACTCTTAATTGCTGCAGGTTATTAGAATAATGGATTTGCTAGACTGCCGTGGTTTTATCCAGGCTGAGCGAGGAGGTTTAAGATTTAAAGACACACCATCCATTATCATTTCCTACACAAAAAAATATGGAAAATCCAGCAGCTATCTTATAGTATGCAATATTTTCTTTACTGTCTGCCATTTGATCATTTTACCAAAGGACCCCTTAGCACAGGGGTCTCCAAACTTTCTAAACAAAGGGCCAGTTTACTATCCTTCAGACTTCAGGGGGGCCGAACCTTGGCTGGTGGGAGATAGGGTTGCCACCTCATCCTGCACCGCATATGTGTGAACCCAGCCTTAGGGTTGCCACCTCATCCCTTTAAAACCGAACACATAACAATTACACAGGTTCTGTGGCTGATTAAACTCACTAATGCAGGCCACAGATGGGTCGAAAATCGGCGGATTTTTCGCACCGTTAGTGGTTTAATTGGTCGGCCATTTTTCGGGGGTTTGGCACATCTTTTTTTTTCGGTAAAGTTGGAACATTCGCGGCCGATTTTGACAATCGGCTGATTTTCCCGGCAATGATTGTCAAATCGGCCGTTCGTTTTACCAATAAAAAAATCTGCGCATGAGCCGTGACCTGCAAGAAGAAGAAAAAGAAGAAGAAAAAGAAGAAGAAAAAGAAAAAGAAGAAGAAAAAGAAGAAGGAAAAAAAAAAAAGAAGAAGAAAAAGAATAATTCCAGTCCGCTATTATATTTTACATGAAAAGTCTTTCGGTTGCAACAATGTATCTATTTGTATCCGAATAAAAACCATCTGTATCCGAAATGGATACAAATAGATACATTGTTGCAACCACAATACTTTTCATGTAAAATATAATAGCGGAGCTGTCTGCAAGGGACAGAAGTAAAAATGCCGGCCGTAGACGGGACGAAAATTTTTTACCATTGGTGGTAACGTTGGCCGATTGAACGACTGATTTTTTTTTTTTTTTTAAAAACAGCTGATTTTCGAACTGTTTGTGGCCTGCATTAGTGCCTTATCTGCCTCAGAACCTGTGTAATTAATACATGTTCAGTTTCAAAGAGATGAGGTGGCAACCGTAAGTGGGAGTAGAAATTGGCCTGGCGTCAGTGGGAGTGAACAATGCATCTTTAGTATTGGGGGGGGATAACACCCCATTATTTGTATCAGTGAGAGAAATAGTGCCCCATCATTGGTATCAGTGGGAGGAACAGTGCACCATCGTTGGTGTCAGTGGGAAGAATAGTGCTCTATCATCATAGGTGCCAGTGGGAAGAATAGTGCCCCATCATTGGTGTCATTTGGAGGAATACTGCCCCATAATTGGTGTCAGTGGGAAGAACAGTGCCCCATCATTGGTGTCAGTGGGAAGAATACTGCCCCATTGTTGGTGTCAGTGGGAGGAATAGTGCCCCATTTTCTGTTGTCATTGGAAGAAATAGTGCCCCGTTGTTTGTGTCAGTATAAGAAATAATGCCCTGCATGAATTGTTTCAGTCAGAGGAATAGTATTGGGGGGGGGGGGGTAGCACCCCATCGTTTGTATGAGTGAGAGAAACAGTGCCCCATCATTGATATCAGTGGGAGGAACAGTGCACCATCATTGGTGTCAGTGGGAAGAATAGTGCCCTATCATCATTGGTGTCAGTGGGAAGAATACTGCCCCATCGTTGGTGTCAGTAGGAAGAATCCTGTCCCATCATCAATGGTGTCAGTGGGAAGAATATTGCCCCATCATTGGTGTAATTTGGAAGAATAGTGCCCCATTTTTTGTTGTCAGTGTAAGGAATAGTGCCCTGTTGTTTGTGTCAGTATGATAAATAGTGCCCTGTTGTTGATATCAGTAGTATGAATTAGTTTGCATGAATTTTATCAGTCAGAGGAATAGTGCACCATCAGTGGTATCAGTGGGAAAAATATTACCTCATCGTTGGTGTCAGTGGGAAGAATACTGTCCCATCGTTGGTGTGAGTGGGAAGAATACTGCCCCATCGTTGGTGTCAGTGGGAAGAGTACTGTCCCATCATCATTGGTGTCAGTGGGAAGAATAGTGCCCCATTGTTGTTGTCAGTAGAAGGAATAGTGTCTTGTATCAGTGGGAGGAACAGTGTCCCAAGGGCCAGATAAAGGCAAGCAAAGGGCTGCAGTTTGGAGACCACTGCCTTAGCAGTTCAAAAAGTGGTAGAATGAACAGCAGGCCACCCAACAGGAAAAAGTGAATGACCTCTATGTGACTTTTCTTTTTTTTTTTATAAATTATTTATTTATTGGCGACAATATATGTAATCAACTTGTGTAGAGAAAGAACCTCCATCCAGTCAACAACAGTACTTCTAACATTCCAGTTTTTAAACAATGTTTTTTATTGCTATGCAAAGTGTCTCATGGGGCATTTTGCAGAGCAGACTGGACTTCACCCTCACCATTGAGCTAGATCTCTAGATCACGGGTGTCAAACTAGCGCACCTCCAGCTGTTGCCAAACTACAAGTCCCATGAGTCATGGCAAGATTGACAGTTACAAGCATGACTCCCAAAGACAGAGGCAGTTTGATACTCCAGCTCTAGATGTTACAACAAGCTGACAGCCATATCTTACTATGTTCTTCAGGGTTACAGGAGAGCTGGCAATTGCTGCTCTGTAAATAAAGCCTGAAAAACCTGTTTGCAGACTTCATTCTAAAGTACATTGTTACAATATTGCAAAAAAACCCCCAAAAAAAAACATACTCACCCAATGCAGCTCCCATTTCTTACATTTTTAAATGGAACTTGAGATAAACAGACCCATAACAAGGGCATTTGGTAAACACTTTAGAAACACAAACAGCTTTAGCAAAGGAACAAATATAATTGAATAAAGTTGAAAAACTCTGGCTAACTTAAATTAGATAAAAACCCTAAATGGCATTTAGTTTACTAAAGCCGTGTGTATCATAAACAGTTGACCAGCTTCAGGACCTCAGAGTCCTGGAAGGGTGTAAATGAACATAATTGTTCATAGAGCTACATGGAGCGTTCGATCACGTCCAGCTGAAAAAACCGATAGGTGGACTTGATCAGAATGTCCATGTGAAAGGGGCCTTAGGGTGGCTACATTTCCTCCTCTCCCACATCTATGGAGGAGCAATGTAGCCACCCTTGGACAGCAGCATAAGTTATCCAGTGCCCATGGTGAAGATGGCAACTTGTGCCCAGGGCACATATTCCTTCTACCCCCACCCTTGCCTCAGCCCTTTAGTTGCCTGTATGTTGAAAAGGCCATTTACAGCCTGCATTGGAAACTCCACTGGTACAATACAGGAGCAAAGGTGGAAGACGCTATCTGGCGGCACAGTGGCTTAGTGTCAACCAATTAAATAATTACCGCGCTCTAATACTGACAAAAGTGCATAATGCTTATGAAAAAGTTAAAATTAATATATAATTGATGGTGACTGATAAATTAAAATGAAAAAAATAAATAAATATAAAATTAAATTAAAATAGTGATATCATAACACCAAATCACTGAATGTGCAATACTCATAGAAATGTGCAAATGTTCCATAAATAGATAATATATAGTGTAGAAAAATAAACAATATTGTCCCAAGTGCAAATGTGCAAAAAAATGTTCCAGCAAAAACAAATATACTCTCCTTCAATGAATGTAAAGATGGGATCTTGCAGCTTAGCTGTGAGCCTGTGTAGCTGTGAGGCTGTGAGGGATGCTCCCTCCTATAATCCGCTCCTTATTCCAATGCCTGTGTGTTCCTCGTGTATCTCATGCAAAAGAGAATAAAAGATATGGTGCCTTATCCCAAAAATAAAATCAGCTTTAATGTGCTTCCATGTTGCACTCACATGTAATACATAACATTGCGCTTTGAATGTGTCAATAGCCGCAGCTTGTGGTAAGGATCAGAGTAGAGGGTGTGTAACCACATGCCTTCAGTACTCGCCGTATTGTGGATCAAATGCGCGGTGACGTCACTGCCCCTCCCCAACGCGTTGCGCCACAGGGATTACGTAGCTTCGTCCGGGAGATGATGTCAGTGGCTTAGTGGTTAGCATGTCTGCCTTGCAGTAAATGGGTCATGGGTTTGATTCCCGACCATGGTGCCTCCTGCATGGAGTTTGCATGTTCTCCTATGCTTGCATGGGTTTCCTCTGGGTGCTCTGGTTTCCTCTCACACTCCAAAGACATGCTGATAGGTTAATTGGATCCTGTCTAAATTGGTCCTAATAGGTGTATGTATGAATGTGAGTTAGGGACCTTAGACTGTGCACCCCTTGAGGGTTAGGGACTGATGTGAATGTACAATATATATGTAAAGTGCTGCGTAAATTGAAAGTGCTATATAAGTACCTGAAATAAATAAGACAGAGATGAAGCTTTGCCACCCTGTAACAGGGAAAACCTTCACAGAGACCCGTATGGTAGAATTACCCAGTATTTTTAATGAAGGCCACTGTTTTAAAAATACTAAAAATTACCTTTCAAATAACATTAATCTGTTAAACTTTAATAAAATGTTTGTGATTTTGTCTAAATACACTTTAATGAGAAGCTACATATATATTTTTAGATAAAATAATCAGTGCGTATAGCATCAACATCAGCACACAGTAGTAAGAAAATTCTTCTAAATAAATTTTATCCAAAATAAAGTTCCTAATTGTCCACAGCAAACAGTATTAGTAAATCCTTCTATATAAAATGACTAGTATTATAGGTTTACCGACCATTTAGAATACATTTCCGCTGAAGCAGATCGTGAGCAGATACATAATTGGCGTGTAGCTTTGCCGAGAGAAAGGTTACATCTATGCATAAAAATGATAGGCTTGGAATATGCATTTTCACAATTGACATGCTTAGATCTAGTAGGTGGCGTTGTATCCATTACCATAAATAACATATATTTAAAACTTTATGCATAGCCTGCCGGCAGAAAAGGTGCACATATAACAAGCAATGAGCTAACAGTAACCAAACCAACAAAGCAAATTCAAAACAAAAAGAAAGACAAGGAAAGCATATTTTATTATTTCTCACAATATAAAGTTTGACTGTAATCCCATCCAATAATGACCACTGTGAAAGTTCAAAAAACACGATGACATTGCTAATAACCAACAAAGCTACAACACAATCAGGCATGACTCCGTGAGATAGTCTACGTAGAGCAGGGACGGACTGACCATTCGGGCATTGCCTGAGGGCCTGGGGTCAGTAGGGGGCCTGGTGAGAGGCTCATTGGGCACAATTCACTAAGCGGTATCTTACCGAATCCGAGTATGCGCTAGGATACCGCATAGCATTTTTTTAAAAAAAGTTTGAATTCACCAAAAAAACGCTACTAAAGTACCGCATGAGTTATTTTATCACGGCATGCAGTATTTTAGTAGTGAAAAAACATGCCTTAATGTTTCAGCTGGCAGAGGGGTTCCCCACTGGCAGCTGAATGTAAAAGAAAGAATTGCAATTAAAAAAAACTAATAAAAAAAAAAAATGATGCGGGGTCCCCCCCACCATCCATACCAAGCCCTTCGAGTCTGGAATGGATTTTGAGGGGAACCCCCATGCCAAAGTTTAAAAAAAAATGGCATGGGGGTCCCTCCACAATCCATACCAAAATATTGTGATTGACGTGGGATCTACTTCGGGGGACATTCTTTTATTTTTCTTCTTTTAATAAAGGACCTGTCAAAGACTGTCTCCTGTCTTTTTTCAAACTACACTTTTTTTTGTGAATTGGTAGCGGTACCATGTACCCCATACTCATTCACATGGGGGGGGGGGCATGATCTGGGGGCCTCCTTGCTAAAGGGGGCTTCCAGATTCCTATAAGCTCCCTGCCTGCAGACCCCCATAACCACAGATCAGGGTTGTGGGGAAGAGACCTTTATCCCCATCAACTTGGGGACAAGGTGCTGTGGGGGGGACCCCCCCAAAGAACCCTCCCATGTTGATGGCATGTGGCCTGGTATGGTTCGGGAGGGGGGCCCTCGCTTGCCCCCCCCTTTCCTGACCTGGTATGGATCTTGAGGGAGACCCCCACACTTTTTTCTTAATTTTGGTATGGGGGTTCCCCTCAGAACCCATACCAGACCCGAAGGGCTTGGTATGAATGGAGGGGGGACCCCCACAACATTGTTTTGTTATTTTTAAAATTATTTTGAATGCCCTTTCTATGCAGCTTAGCTGCAATATATACAGTTGCAAGAAAAAGTATGTGAACCCCTTGGGATTACGTGGAGTTTTGCATGAATTGGGCATAAAATGTGCTCTGAACGGCATCTAAGTCACAACAATAGAAGAACACAGTCTGCTGAACATAATACTACACAAACATTAGATGTTGCCATGGTTTAATTGCACATAACATGTAAACATTCACAGTGCAGGGAGGAAAAAGTATGTGAGTCCCTAGCTTAATGACTTCCCCCAGAGCTAATTGGAGCCAGGAGTGAGCCAACCTTGACTCCAATCAGTGTGGTGATATTGGATGTGTTGCTGACAGCTGTCCTGCCCTTAAAAAACACACACCTGTTTTGGGTTTACTGGTTTCAAGAAGCACTGTCTGATGTGAACCATGCCTCGCATAAAAGAGCTCTCAGAAGACCTACGAAAAAGAATTGTTGACTTGCATGAAGCTGGAAAGGGTTACAAAAGTATCTCCAAAAGCCTTGATGTTCATGTGTCCACGGTAAGACAGACTGTCTACAAATGGAGAAAGTTTAGCACTGTTGCTACTCTCCCTAGGTGTAGTCGTCCTGTAAAAATGACTGCAAGAGCACAGCGCAGAATGCTGCATGAGGTAAAGAAGAATCCCAGAGTGTCAGCTAAAGACCTACAGAAATCTCTGGCACATGCTAACATTTTTGTTAACACATCTACAATAAGGAAAACATTAAACAAGAATGGAGTACATGGGAGGACACCACGGAGGAAGCCATTGCTGTCCAAAAAGAATATTGCAACACATTTGAAGTTTGCAAAAGAGCACCTGGATGTTCCACAGCACTACTGGCAAAATATACTGTGGACAGATGAAACAGATTGAGTTGTTTGGGAAGAACACACAAACACTATGTGTGGAGAAAAAAAGGCACAGCACACCAACATCAAAACCTCATCCCCACTGTGAAACATGGCGGAGGGAGCATCATGGTTTGGGGCTGCTTTGCTGCCTCAGGGCCTGGACAGATTGTTGTCATCGATGGGAAAATGAATTCCAGAGTTTATCAAGACATTTTTCAGGAAAACGTACGACCATATGTCCACCAACTGAAGCTCCGCAGAGGATGGGTGATGCAACAGGACAATGACCCAAAGCATACAAGTAATTCAACAGAACAATGGCTGCAACAGCACAGAATACGCCTTCTGGAGTTGCCCAGTCAGAGTCCTGACCTCAACCCGATTGAAATGCTGTGGCATGACCTTAAGAGAGCGATTCACACCAGACATCTCAAGAATATTGCTACACTGAAACAGTTTTGTGAAGAGGAGTGGTCCAAAATTACTCCAGATCGTTGTGCAGGTCTGATCTGCAACTACAGGAAACGTTTGGTTGAGGTTATTGCTGCCAAAGGGGGTCAACCAGTTATTAAGTCCAAAGGTTCACATACTTTTTCCTCCCTGCACTGTGAATGTTTACATGTTATGTGCAATTAAACCATGGCAACATCTAATGTTTGTGTAGTATTATGTTCAGCAGACTGTGTTCTTCTATTGTTGTGACTTAGATGACGTTCAGAGCACATTTTATGCCCAATTCATGCAAAACTCCACATAATCCCAAGGGGTTCACATACTTTTTCTTGCAACTGTAGGTGGTGTGTTGTGTGGGTGTGGCTTGATTGTAGGCAGAGACACAGGGGGCCCCATTATCTCTTATTGCCCGGGGGCCCCAGGAGTTGTCAGTCCGCCCCTGATGTAGAGTAGTGCTAACTATTAGAAGGTAGAAAAGAAACCTATGGGTCTATATAGAATACCATCAATACACAGTAATTCATTGAAGTCTGTAGACCAGGGGTCTCAATGTTTTAATCAAAGAGCCAGTTTACTTTCCTTCAGGCTGTAGTGCGGCCAGACTGTGGTCAGTGGCAGTAATATAATTACATAGTGCCTGTGGTCAATAGGGGGAGGAATTGTGCCCCATAATAGCTATTAGTGATAGGAATAATGCTCTATTGTTGGTGTTAGTGGAAGGAATAATGTCCAATAATTGGTGTCAGTGGGAGGACTGGTGCCCCATCATTGGTTTCAGTGGGAGGAATGGTGCCCCATCATTGGTATCAGTGGGAGGAGTGGTGCCCCATCATTGTTTTCAGTGGGAGGAATAGTGCCTCATCACTGATGTCAGTGGGAGGAATAGTGCCCCATTATTGGTGTCAGTGAGAGGAACAGTGCCCCATCATTGGTGTCAGTGGAAGGAATAGTGTTCTATCATAGGTGTCAGTAGGAGAAATAGTGCCCTATCATTAGTGTCAGGGGGAGGAGGAATAGTGCCCCATCGTGGTGCCAGTGGAAGGAATAGTGCCCTATCATCGGTGTCAATGGGAGGAATAGTGCCCGCTCATGGTGTCAGTGAAAGGAATAGTACCCTATCGTTGGTGTCAGTTGTAGGAATAGTGCCCCATTATTGGTGTCAGTGAAAGGCAGTGCCCCATCGTTGATGTCAGTGGGAGAAATAGTGCCCCATCGTTGGTATCAGTGGGAGGAATAGTGCCCCATCGTTGATGTCAGTGGGAGAAATAGTGCCCCATCATTGGTATCAGTGGATGGAAAAGAGTTCCATCATTGTTGTCAGTGACGGAAATAATGTTTCAATGTTTATATCAGTTGGAGGAATAGTGCTTCATATCTGTGTTCAGAATCCCCAAAGACTGGAGAAAGGCAAGCAAAGGGCCGCATATGGCCTGTGGGCCACAGTTTGGAGACCACTGCTGTAGACCATTCAATATATGTTTTATTTAGGCCTGATGTCCATTCACAGGCTCGGTTATGGTTTAAAAATACCCCAAATGGCCCTCCAAACGAAACACGAGTGCACATAATTGACATTATTATAAACACATAATAAACACATAATCCAGGCTACATTATATGCTTTCTAGCTACAGTCACTTTTGCAGCAGTTGTTTTCTTATTCCGGTTTACAATCCTGTGTAATGTCCTTTTGTCTCTTTTGGTCAGTTGACCATGTCAACCACACTTATGCTCATCAGACAACGTTTTCCCAGAAACTGTATATGCCACCATAACCTTTGATACTGTACCTCATGACACGGCAAATAAATTGGCAACTTCAGTCACAGAGGCACCAGCTAAGTGGGCACCAACAATTTGCCCTCTTTGTAGCTCAGTAAGCTCTGACAAGGTTCCGTATTACTAGGAGCACACACAGTGAATGACGAAAGTGAGGCTTCCCACCTGTTAGCTAGGAGTCTCATCACAAAGCGGAAGCATTTCATCACTTTCACACTTGCAAATCATGTAGCGTTTCCATTTTTGTTCAACTCCTGTATATGCATATCCTGAATAGATTGTGCAGAAACCACAAGTCAAATGGTCTGTTGCTTCAAGTCCAGATGCCCAGGCTGTGCAGGGATGCAGGCAATGCACAAAGCTGGTCGGAAACCCACTGATGTGTTTGGTCCCCCAAAGCATGAATCTTCATGGAGGGGTTACAGGAGGCACATGTATCCTTAATTCCAACCAACATTGTGTATAATGCTGACTCTGATTAAAGGGCCATATTTAAATGAAAAATACTAACTTCTTCCTGAAGTATCTGATATACAAGTAGAACACAAAAATTATGTACAAACCAAAAAGCTAAATCATGGACATATGGAGGACAAGCAGGCCACCACAGCAGAATTTAAATACAAAGGAAAATTTACATAAAGACATCTCATAAGAAAACCTGGAATTTTATTTAATAAAGCTGAATGAAACCCTGCTATCATTTACAGCCACGAAAATTGCCATCTTAGCCTCTGTTGATCTGAGTTGCCATAGTGCTGCACCTGTGTACAGTTATGACACCAGATATTTGATGATTTGACAGTTCAGTTGAGGGAGTTGAAGAGCCTGTGACAGTTTTCATGCACGGCAATGTAACTGTTTTGGGAAACTGTTAAATTGACGGGTTTAGTTCTGATTTAATTGTTCAAATCCTTTGAGGCCATCGTGCCAAGGAGGTGAATTCACATTCGTAGTTCCTTTCCTCAAACGTTCAGCATTAAAGTCACCAAACATGGAGTCCTATCAAAGTTTCAAAATGTTTTTGTTTTTTCCACATATTGGCAAATGGCACAATTGTCACCATCAACACGTACAATGAAAAACATTTTTACCTAACAAAGCTTCTATCTCTGCAGGAGAACACTGGTAATGTACCAAATTATCTTTTAGGTTCTTTGCCCCTTGAGCTGTTTAGAGGGGCGCACAATTCTGAGCAACTGAGAGTTAGCAGTAAAGATGTTCCAATGTTTTCGGGGCATATCATGCAGCTTATTCTAATGTGACCCATAGGGGGTAATAACTTGACATAACAAGAATTTTCATTAGATCATTAATGGTGCTCCTCTAGACTAATTCCATTTTATCCTCATTAAGAGCTTTGAATCAATGTTGCCTTAACAGGTGATGGGGATAGTGTCTCTGCCTAAATCAATTGACAAGATCCTCCAAGTAATTTAAACATCTCAGTAACAGAACAATTTCTTGGAATGCAGAAAAGTTGTGCTTGTGGAATGTCTTTAATAGAGGCAGGGGGATGGGGGTTGGTGGCATGCAGAAGGGTGTTCCCAGCTGTAGGTTTACAGTAAGTACCAGTGCCTAACTGCCCGGCATATACTCCAATACTTGAATCCAAGAATGTATTGTCTCTTGCATTTCTTGTTTTGTAAATGCCAGGCAGATATTCCTAGCACTGGAATTCAACTCATGCATGAAATCATGTAGCTAAGCTTTAATGCCTCTCCACCATGCCAGCACATCATCTATGTACACCTCCTGCTGCTCTCATGAAACAAGATGCAGGAATGCATAAGAGGGTATGCATGCCCTTCATATTGGGTCAATGATGTCACCAACTCCTTCCATACATCATCGAACATGAGTTTGGACTAAACCCGAACTCATCCTTACTAAGGATATGTGCCACAGCACATTGAACATCAATACCAACTAACAAACTTCCATCCTCAACACAAAACTCCTCTAGAAGCTGCTGGACATTGACCAATAAGGAGGGCAGTTGGTAGAACAGAGGCTTCAATGTCTTGTCCACAAATGTTCAGTAGGACTTCCTACCACTGATACGATTAGCCTACCAGGTGGAGCCGTGGGATTTTTTTTGAACCCACATAAAAACCTTCCCACTCTTAGAAATTATTCCCTGTTGCCAAGCTTGACTGAGTAAGGCATTAGTCTTTAGAACCAAGGATGGAAAGGGTTCTGTGAAATGCAGGAGTAAAACCACTTATCATTAAGCTGCCTCAAAGCCTCAGCTTCATAACATCAATCAGTCATAAGAACCACATTCCCTCCCTTGTCACTTGCTTTAATCACCACTCCAAATAAAGATTTAAGTTCCTCCAGGGCCTTTCTCTCCTTTGCTGTTAAATTATCATACCTTAGTGTAGGCACCAACCAATCAGTCTGTCTAATATCCTTCACAGCTATCTTCATAGACAACTGGTTATAACTCAGTGGGGGAATTTTCTTAGATTTACATTTAAACTAGGTGGGTTTAATGTTTAATTCATCTTTCACATTTTCCTCCATCTAAATGCTTCCCCCTTCTCAGTTCAATTCCTCCAATGTCACTTTTTGCTTATGAAAGGATTGGTCCAATACTTTGTGGGTTTACTTCCATGGAGCCCCTTTGGGATTTGAACAATGGATTGAATTTAAAAATTTTCTTATGAAATGTTTTTGTGTAAATATTCTTTTGTATAGGTTTCAAGCTCAGCTAGGCTGCTTGGCTTCCATATTTACATGCCCATTTTTTAACTTAGTGATTTGTACATTGATTATGGGGTACTACTATGTCAACCACTTTAGAAAGAAGTATTTTCTCAACTATGGCCCTTTAAGCAGAGGACGTATTACTCAACATGTTAACTGGATAAAAATACACAAGTGAATATGGAAACCACACTATGAAAATTGCCATGCTTTGGCATTGGTGGCTGGCCGACTAGTTTTGCACTTTCTTCATTCTGGCAGAGCCTGGGCCTCATGAGGCCACATATCACCTGACTTCTGTCTGCTGTGGTGGTTGCTGCAAAATCTAACCAGGATTCACATGGACTTGGTTGCAGCACTTGAATGGGATCATGCACAAATCTCATGCACAAATCTTCCCAGGATAGGTAAATCAGCTACCTGCTTTGTTGATTTGGTTTGCCTCTCAGACTATCGTGAGCGATTCTATAAAAAAAAGGACACTTACTCACTGCATTTTATGGCGAGTCTCCTGTAAACTATGATGGAATTGCCTTGAATTTCACAGTCCAAATCGGCAATACACTGTTGTCGTAACTAGAAAGCATATAGTGCAAGTTGGATTATATGTTTTTCATGCGTGTTAATAGCCCATTGCATTTACTAATGATCTATGCTATTTGTCCTTTTAGATGTCTATTGAGTGCACTCATGTATATTTTGTAGGACCATTTGGGGTATTTTGCATCCATAACTGAGCCTGTAAATGAACTTCAGGCCTACATGAAATATAGATTAGATGGTCTACAGAGAGCCATGTATTACTCTCCTTTTTATTGGAAATATCTTTTCCCACAGGTCTCCTTTCTGTATACCAATTGTTAGCACATTTAGTTCTGCATAGACTGCCTCACTGATTCTGAAACTTTGTTGGTTAACCAGATTGTCATCTTGTTTTTTAACTTGTACAGTGAGACATTTTTGGATAGTGGTGAGGTAATAAAAGAAATATTTTTTCAGTACTCCCTTATACTTTTTCTTTCTTTTTGTTTTGAATTGGTATTGTATCCATTAACATGATGTTCAGAAATGTCAAGTGGAACTGATTTTTAAAAGGTTGAAATGCCATTTAACTACTACCCCACTTACACATCCATAATGAAATGTGCTGAATGAATAGACTGTTGGAACAATGGAAAACAGCACTGAGGAACAATATATTACATCTATGCATTTAAATAATGGGACCCTGTCATCATAAAAAGGTTAAACGGGCATGAGATATTGAAAGCAGGCAGTTAGAGGTACCTAAAAACTTGCTGACATTTTATGAACCTTGAAAACCCAAGTAACTTTATTATTTAAATCTCCACCAGCTTCTATTGTGCAGAATTGAAGCTTCCCTCCTCCCCCACCTTAACAGTTGGCCAGTGGAGATGACTGAATGTCTGAAAAGTTTGATAATTTGCAGTTCAGCCCAAAGCTTTAATAATTTGTGCACCCTTGAAATATGGAATTTCAATATTGGAAGACAATGGGGCCAAAAAACAGCCTGAGCCTGTTCCTTTAAATATTCTAACAGTGATACCCAGATAGAAGTAAGGGACCTAGCTTACTGGAAGTCAAGCTATGGGTGCCCAAGCAACAGCAAAAGCAGATGTAAGGCAGAAACAGCCTTTGGTGCAGCCCTTTGGCCTCTTTTTGACTGAAGTCTATGGGGAATCCTAATTGCCAAAAATAACACTGAAATGTGGATTTAGCACAGGACAATTAAATTCATAAAATCTGGTCCAAATCTAACATCATCCTAATTCTGGGACCCCTGTTAGTCAGTGCAGCACCCCATTATTTTTTGGTTGCTTGCAACTCTCACTGGTTTGTCCTGCCGCTACTGCAAGACTCAGCAGCGACACAGAGTTTGGCTGGAGGAAGCACTGAGCACTGCAGGGAACCCAGGAGATCAAAACTATTA